CAGGGCGTGGCCAGAGAATGCTCCTGGAAAGTGCTAGCATAGTTACTATGACTTTGAAGGATGGAGAAAACAAGAAATCCCGGAGCAGCAGGTGTGATAGAAAGCATGTGACCCGCAAAGCCGAAAATGCGGATATCTGTCTATTGACCGAAAAAGTCTGCCCACCCCATCTTAAACCAAAATAATGTCCATTGGAAATGTCTAGAACAGTTGAGAGGTTCTAGCAGTTGATTGGAACAAGATTTGTAACATGCCAGGAGTAATTTTTTATTGTTAGCTTTGTGTTGTACAGCATGAAGTAGACTGTTTAATGTAAGCCAAGCCCCAGGGGCCCGCGGTAGACCTAAGCCGGTGCTGTTCACGAGAGCTTGCTGTGGGAGTGGAAGTGTTCTTTATACACGCATCCAGTACCCGTCTGAAACCAGAGTCTACCCCAGAACACCCACTCATGTGGGTGCTGAGTATTTGTAATGTGGATAGTGTAACTGCAGGACTGAATGTTACATTTCATTTGATGTTAATAAAACACGAAGGTAAGGAGCCACCTTTGACTCCTGGTTACCGTATCGTATGGTGGATGTCTCAGAATTATTATTTTTTTTATATTAGATATTTAAATATCTCAACACATGTTTTTAGCTGATGTTTTCTTGAATGAAATTGCAGCGACACAGTGTGTGTGAGGTGGGACAGTGGCCGTGGTACACACCTAGGTCTCCAACCCTTGTTTCCTGCAGAGAGCAGCTGATCTTTCTCCTCGGGGTGAGCAGTTTGCAGCTGTTTGTCCAGAGTAACTGGACGGGGCCTCCCGTGGACTTGCACCCTCAGTGTCTTTTGTCCGGACAGTTCAGTGAGGTATGTTTCATGTTACATGTTCGTTCATATGTCGTTATGATAGTGTTTTTCATTCTTCACATATGAGTCTCCGTAAGTTCTTAGTAAGTCGGAAAGAAACATGATATTTTAACTTGCGCCAAACCACTAAGAATGCTTGGTCATTGATGAGACTTTTAGGTGTTTCCAGAAGTTCCGTGGTTAGTCTCAAACCACTCTCTAGACACTCGGCTTTGCGGAGCTCTGTTAGCCATTCCGTTTGCTCAGCCACAGGCAGCAGCCCCAGCCGCCCAGTTAGCTTAATGGAGTTACCTAAAGATCTTTTCAGGCAAAGCAGTCTGAGAAGTCTGTTGGATCTCATGTTAGGTAAGTTTTACGGCATAAAAACAGTTGCCAGGGTGGTTTTCTCCTATTACAAATAATTTATTTTAGTGACATGGAGGTAAGTCATGTGTGATTAAAAATCAGACAAACCCCCTGCCAGTGAGTTGATGCTGACTCATAGTAACCCTATAGGACAGGGTAGAACTGCCCTGAGTTTCCGAGACTGTAACTGTTTCGTGGGAGCAGAAAGCCCTGTCTTTGTTTTGAGAAGGGCGTGGTGGTTTTGAACTACTGACCTTGCAGACGGATTACAACCCCATTTAGATGGAAGAAGAGCATGCTGTTTGGGGGAAAGGATGTTCTGAGCTTTCTGGATGAGCCGTAACACCAGGCTTGATAGGGTTCGGGCTAGATTATGGGACACTTTAAGATTGTGAATGTAATTTTTTAATAGAAGTAGCTCACCCATTCAAAAGAGCATATGAACTATACTGCGCATGGTCTGAGTAACAGACTTCCTACGTATCCATGACCCAGCGGGGCGGAGAGAACACGACGAGTTTCTTGGAACAGAGCCTCCAAAGTGTTGGTCCCTCGACCATTTCTGTGGCATGGGGAGGTCTGGGTGTGGTCCTCTGGCTGTGAGCTGCCTTCTCTGACCTGGTGTCCTACGAGCTTCTGTGTGCGCTCTGACTTAAAACCGGTGGGGAGATACATCCCCTCCTCCAGGTAACCACTCTCATGAATTGTGTATTAATCATTCTCTTGCTTTGCTTTAGAGTTTTAGCATCTAAGCCTGGATATATAGAAAACAGTTTAGTTTCGCCAGTTTTAAATTTTATTGCAATGAAATTTAACTGGATATATTTTGTGGCTTCCTTTGTTCAAAAATTAATATTTTTGAACTTCATTTATTTTTGTATTCATATTCAGATTGTACAAATATGTACCAAAATTTGTATACCTCTTTTGTTGATGGGCATTTGGCTTGTTTCCAGGTGTCCATATAATGTTTATTACAGCTATCGTCACATCTTCTGGAAACCATTTGCAAAAATTTAAGCATAACGTACTTAGAAAATCCTATTATTTCCTGTTCAGAGCAAGAAGAGAAAAGAGTATAAAAGACACATGAGAACAGTCAGTGCAAAGGACTGCTGGATCCTGTCCTCCAGGACCCCGAAACCCAAAGACTTAGTTGGTGCCCAGCGGCCTTGGCTGACTTCTCTCAAAGGCCCTGGGTCGAGTGGGAGAAAATGTGGAACAGAACTCTGAGTCATGAGAAAGACGAGGCTTTCCGTTGAACTCTCTCGGACCGTTGACCAGCCTTGTCCGCAAGCAGTACATCAGGAAATGAATGAACGCAGATAAAGTTCAGCTAAATTTTAATGTCTGAATATTTGTTCTCCCTTTTGACACCTTATTAATTTGTTCTGGTTTGGGTTACTTTCTGCTTCCTTTTGGATTGAGTTTTCGATTTTTTGTGTTTTATTTTGTTACTGTATGGGGTTTTTGTTTGTTTTGCTTTCTTTTTTTATTGTGATTTCCTGTATATGAAATCCAGGATGGGTTAAGTCTATGAGTAACTAGATGATTTAGTTTTATCTCAGGGGAGGTTGGTGGAAATAATAATGACAGAAATGGAGAAAATGTCCTAAAATTGATTGTGGTGATAATTGCACAAATCTTTTTAATCTGTTCAAACCATTAAATTGTAAAACAGAGCAACAAAATGAACAGACTTACAGCAAGGCCTGTCAGGTGACCATGCCCCCAGTGGGGTGACTTAGAGCACCCCACTTAGTTAGAGCAGTCAGTTCTGCGGTCTCAGGAGAGCAACGTTTACCCAGAAGGATGAAGGGAAAGTGTAAACACAGGAGGGGATGAGAAGAGAATCATTGTATTGTGGGGGTTGCAGTCAGTGCCATAAAGCAAAATGCGCATGAATTGAACGATCACAGTGTAACAAAAAAGAAAGAAAAATAAGATGACAGTATTTGTTTAGTGCCGTGCACTAAGAGAAGACTTTACTGACCTTCAGGCTTTACTTGCCCGCCTTGGGGCTCGAGGGAAGTCAATATTTCAATAGCCCCGTGAGCCCTCTTTGGGAAGCTGTGTTATATAGTGTATATAGGGGAGTTGCTGGGCCTTGGCTATATGCTTGTTCAACTTTTCTTGGCAATACCAGATTGCATTTCAGAGGATGCTACTAATTCATACTCTTACTGGATAGCTGTAAATACCCACCCACTGCCATTGAGTCAATTCTGACTAAACACCCTATATGTCACCAGGACTCCTTATTTGGAAGATTGAGGGAGTTCTTAAATTTGAGAAGGACACCTTCCTGTTTTTTTGTTTTTGTTTTTTCTGGTATTGCTTTCTCTTTAATTCTTCTTGCAATGCACGCATATTTGTGCAGTGGCTATTTGAGAGGGAGATATATTTCATAGTCATAGTATATAGTCACCAAGCAAAATTATTTTCCCCGCCTTTCCCTAACGTAGGACAGGCTTTCTAATCGCTGGCGCTACCTAGCTCCAGTGGCACAGTACTGCAGTACATGCACTTTCATACAGATGGAGTGATGTCATGATAATCCAGTTCTGTTGTTCAGTTGCTAAAGACTTCATAATCTCTGTTGTTGATGACCCCACACTGTGTACGTACGTAGCAGAACATACACCGGTTCAAAGATTTCTGCATGTACGGTTCAGTGACATTAATGATATTCTCTTAAGTAAGGCAACCATTCCCTAACCCTCTTTCTAAATTGCTCCTCCTTCATTAATGTCAACTCACTACTCAGTCTCATTGGCTAAAAGTCGGATTGCACAGTCAATGGCTGTTCCTATTGCTCATACGTGCACACCTGTGAAAAGTCACATTGTTCAGTGGGTGTGGTAGATCCTTTACAACTACAGCTACAAAGAGCAGCAGCTGAGGCTGTTGATATACTGCCAAGCACCTCATGAGATTTGGTTTCTTGATTTAGTTTCAGACCAGTCTGCCTTGGTCTGAAATCTGTCCACCAGGACTAGCCCTGCTGGTCTTGGAAATCCCAGAGGCTTAGCTTCTAGCATCACAGCAACACAGACTAGACTGTTTTATCATTGTACGTTTACAAGATGATGAGATAAGACTTCATCTTGGGCATGTTCGGCATATTCTCTCGGATTATACAAAAGATGCCTCTTAAGGTCCTAGGTTAGCGTATTCACCTGTGTACTTTGTCCCTTCACTTGGGAGGATACATGAGGTGTCATAGACTCATTCTGCCCAAGGCTGAACTCACAATGATGGTTTTCCTAAACCAGATCTTCTTTTAGAGTCTGTGTCTTAGTTACTCGCACCGCTGTACTATACTATAGTTAACGCCACGTAGAAGTGATCCTGGCCCTGGCCGCGAGGCCCCCGTAGTCATTAATGCTTAAGAGGGCCTCCAGGCCATGTTGAGGGACAAAGCTGAGGAGAGTGTTGTGAGGGAAAGGCCGCATCGTGTATAGGAGGCACAGTAGTTTGACTGGGCTATACTCTCTGCTCAGGCACTAACTTCTGTGTGGTGTTGCGCTTAACTTTTATAGCTGTTTCCTCACCTCTAAAATCAAGGTATTTGTTATAAAATATTTCCTTAGTTATTGCTTTGTAAATTTTTTGCCCTCAGCAGAAATAATGATGGCTATTTATTTGTGGTCATTAAAAAGACAGGAAAGAAAGAAAAGACTAAAATAAATGTCAAAAAAGCCTGAAACGTGCTCTGAAATGTAAATAGCTAAAGCAAATGAAAGAAATGATGACATACAAGAGCTGAACAGAAGAGCTCAAAGGGAAGCTTGAGAAGACAAAGTATAGTGGGCGATACAAAGACCTGGCGTTAGGAAACCCTGCAAAACAATGGGAGATGTAGGAAACATCGAAACCAGAAGTAAGAAATATCATTATAACAAAAATAATTGGTTGACATTCAGCCATTTCAGAAGGTAGAATGATTGGGGAAAGCAAACAAACCGGTGTTAGGAATTGATACTACTGAGATGTTTCAACAAACATGAAATGTTGTATGTGTTCAAGCCAGATTCAGACGATAACATGGAACGAGGGATATGCTGATGTAAGATCGATCTTGGCTGAAAACATAGAATACAAAGAAGATGTTTGCTTGTGTTTTCTTGACAATACACGAGTGCCCGTGATCATTACAGATTCTGGATAACATCGTCAACCATGGGATCTCCAGACCACTTAATTGAGTTCCTGAGGAACATGTCCATAGATCAACGGGGAACAGAACAAGGGCGTGCTGTGATTTAAATCAGGATGGGAGTGCTTCCAGGCAGGACCTCTTCGTCAGCTTGTTCATCCTGTATGCTGAGCAAGTAATCTGGGCAGCGGGACTGTAGGAACAACATGGCATCAAGATGAGAGGAAGATTCATTAGCAGCTTGTGATGTCCAGATTACAGTCATTGCTTGCGGAAAATGAAGAGGATTTGAAGTACTTACTGATGAAGGTCTAACTGTACAGCTTTCAGTGTGAATGACACCTTCAAATTAAGAAAAATAAAACGTCCTCACAACTGGTCAAACAAATGGCATCATGATTGATGGAGAGAGGATGGAAGTTGTCAAGGGTCTCATTGTACTTGTCTCCACCATCATCTCCCATGTGAGAGGCAGTCATAGAATCACAGTGTATTGTATTGGGCTCGTTTCCTGCAAAAGAGTGCTTTACAATGTCATAAAGTAAAGATCACACTTTGAGGACTAAGCTGCACTTGACCCAAGCGGTTGAGTTTTCACTTGCCTCAGTGCATGTGAAAATTGGACAGTGAGTCAGGAAGACCGAAGAAGAATTAAAGCCTCTGACTGATGGTATTGCAAATAATATTGTACGTACACCTGGGCTACTGGGAGAACAAACAAATCTGTGTTGGGAGTAACAGCCGGAATGTACAGCCAGGATGGCAAGACTCTGTCTCCTGCATTTTGGCTCTGTTATCAGTAGGGACCAGTTTCTGGAGAAGGACACCATGCTGTGTGGCAGTTACATAATCTTGTCAACTTGCAAAGGGGTGGAGGATAGCCTGTCAATCAGGCCATAGCCAATGAGGCCTCTGTGTGGGCAAGGCCTTCTCCTGAGGATTCTGGGAACTCTAGTCTTCCTCCCTGGAGGTGGGAAACACTCTGAGCTATGTCCCTGTGAGGCATTCCTATTGACAAGCCACATGGAGCTATGCTGATGGCAGCCAGAGCCTTGGAGTTGGAGGAGCCACAAGGAGACCCAAGCCAGCAATGAGATGCTTCCACCACCACTGGATCCACAAGACTTTTTACCCACTGGCCTGTGATCTCCCTGCACTCGGCGTCATTGCATATATTGTTTGAGTCTAAAAAAGATTTTATACACTAGTATTGGACATGTGGGCTAATACTGGACTTATGGACTTGATCTGGACTGGGCTGGGATGTTTTCTTAATATGCAATTACTCTTTGATATAAAGCTCTCATACACATAGGAGTGTCTCTGGATTTGTTTCTCTCGTCATCCCGGACTAACATGCTGGGTTAAGTAGAGGGACAATGAAAACGAAAAAGACCTTTAGCGGAGTGGATTAACACTCGGGATGCGAGGATAGGCTCAAACCTGCAGTGAGCATAGTCGTGGCGTGGCTGTAGTGCTTGGTTCTGTTGTACACTGGGCTGCTGTGCGTTGGAATGGACTCAGCAGCACTAGCAACAACCAAGGGCATCTGTGGAGTTCATCTCAAAACACTCACTGCCACTGAGTCAGTTCTCACAACGATCCTGTAGGACAGGTAGAACTAGAACTGCCTCTGTGGGCTTCTGAGTCTGTAAATCTTTTTTCTTTTAGACTGTAAAGGGGAGTAGAAAACCCCATCTTTCCTGGAGTGGCTGGTGGTTTTGAACTGCTGACCTTATGGTTAACAGCCCACCTCATAATCTATGCTACCAGGGTAGTGAGTAAGGTACTTGCATGAGTGAAGGATTGATTCTACCCAAAAGCACCTGGAAAGAAAGCTCCGGGGTCTACATTCCAAATACCCAGCCATTGAAAGTCCTAAGGAGCAGCTGCTCTGATTAGCTGGGGTTCCTCGAGTAGAAGTGTACTCAGTAATTTTTTCTTAAGAGGGCATTTGGAATGTTAGAATTCTCTTCATTTTAATAGCTGCGTAGTCGATCTGTTTTAAAGCTGATTGAATTGGCATCTTATTGTATTACAAAACATACCAAGATTAATGTTTTGTTAAATTGTCTTACTTATACTTTTTTTTTCCACCCTCAGGCCAAAGAGTTTGATGCAGTTGTTCTGAATTTGCTCATTCTAGATGGTGAATCAATCTACAGCCTAACCTCAAACCCTATACTGCTGTTATTAGCCCGCATCATCTTAGTGAATATAAGGCATAAACTGACAGCTATTCAGGTAAGAGGAGAAAAGGCACTATTGAGATTCATACCCAAAGCTATGTTTACATGTATTTTCTTAGAATTCTTCTAGTTATTTAGTTTTTAATTCTGATGAGAATAAGCAAAAAACATTTCTTACCTTATGAGCTATTTTTATAGCAGTGTGTGTATGTTGTGTTTGTATAAATGTTTATTCTCTGAAATGTAGGTTTAAAATCCTCTTCATAAATTAAACCCTGATAAAGACTTTAATCTGAATGAGAATGAAAATCATGAGCTGCTAAGTGAAGTAAACCAGTTAGAAAAGGACCGCTATTATATGATGCCAGTTATGTGAAATATCTAGACTAGCAAATATATGGAGATCAAAGCATATTGCTGGTTGGCTGGCTGGGAGGAGGGGTCATTGCTCAGAAGGGCACTGAGCTGCTGGTGCAGGTGATTGGAAAATAGGAAAATGGATAGTTCTGATGAATGCCACTAATGGAGTTGAGTTGTACACTAAAAATGGGAAATAAATGTTTATATGCATATACACACACATCTATATATACACACATGCATATACATCCCATGTTGTGTAAGTATTACCAATACCTGCTTCTAAACTTTCAAAATCCTCCTTAACAGAAACGTAATACTCCTCGGGCAGGGCCTTCCTTCTTGTCCCCCTGCTTCCCCTACTCTGCCCACCTTTGTTCCTGGAACCACTAAGCTTTGGTAAGTGTGCATGTGCCTCTTCTGGACATTTCATATAAATGGCATCTTAGAATATTTATCCTTTTGCGTGTGTCTCCACTCAGCATTAACTTCGGAAAGTTCATCGATATCCTAGGCGGTATTAGAATTTCATATTTCTTAATGGCAGAATAACATGACATTGTACGCACCACATTTTATGTATTCTCTGATGGTGGCCCCTTGTTGACTGTTGTGAGTGATGCTGCTATAAACTTGCTGGTGTGCAAGTATCTGTTTGAACTCCATGGCACCACTCTTAGCTATGAGATGGCCCGTAGCACCTTGGAGGTGTGCACTGCTCAGAGAAATCAACCGGATGCGACTGAAAGGACAGTGTTTTCTCAGAAATAAAGCTCAGGATTCAGGCAAAGATCGGAAAGAAGGATGAAATGGAAATAGTAAACACAGGGATTGAGAGGGAAGAGTGTTGTCATGTTGTGGAGGTTGGAATCAGTGTCACAATCAGTGTGCATGGACTGTTGAATGGAGGGCCAATAATAGTAATAATAAGAAATACTTTAAAAGCCAGCTTGTTGGAGTGCTTGCTTTGAGTTCGTTTGGATACTTAGCTAGTAGCGGAATCGCTAGGTCATATGCTTATCCCTTTGTGGAACTGCCAAACTCTTTTCCACAGTGGCTGGAGCATCTTACAATTTCACTAGCAGTGGACATACATTCCAATTTCTCCACATCATTGAAATCACTTCTTATTTTTCTTATTTTTTGATCATAGCCATGTGCTTATTGGCCATTAGCTTATCTTCTTTGGTGAATATCTGCTCAGGTCTTTCGTCCAGTTTTAATATTATGTGGGTTACCTTTGTGTTGAGTTGTAGTTCTTTATAGATTCTGGATCTTGAACCCGTATCAGATGTGATAACCAAGTATTTTCTCTGAATCGGTTAGTTTTCTCTTCACTTTGTGGATAAAGTCTTTTGTTGCACAAAACTTTTTAGTTTGATGAAATTCAGCATACCTTATTCATTTTTTCATTTCTAAAATTCAGCATACCTTTCGTGTCTTTTGATGTGTGTACTTTTTGTGGTCATGTCAAAGAATTTGTTGTTGAAAACTAAGGTCCTGAAGCATTAGTCATGTTTTGTTCTAAGAGTTTTATAATTTTAGTTTTTACATTTAGGTCTTTAAAATCCCTTTTGTTGTGATGTATGGAGATCCAAGTGTGTCAGCACCTTCATACGTCTTTATAGATTTCATATAAGTTGAATAAATAATAGCTGGAAGTACAGCATTTTTATAATGGATCTTAATTTCTGTTTTCTGCTTCACATCTAACCTTGTTTCATTGTATGAGTTGGATTTACTAAAGCACTTGTCGAATAACACTAGTGAGGAGAAACCGTTTTACTCACAGAAAGGTAATCAGCTTTAGGAGGTGACAGAAGCTGGAAGAAAGGTGTAACGGAAGTGCTTCAGAGGTTTGTTGAGTAGAGAGATTCATGCTTACCGGGACAGCCTAGAAAGACTTCCAAAAAGAAGTGGTATCTGAGCAGCATTTAAGGGTGGATGGGCTGACCTGGAGTAGAGAGAAAGCAAGAAAAACATGTCAATGAGAGGAAACAGTATGAGCTGTGACGCCCAAGTTCCGGGCATGGAGAACGAGCAGGGGTCTAGCTTGGCTATATGAAGGGG